ATTGAAAATAATTACGCCAGATTATAAATGAAAAAAGAAACAATTAAGGAAATCAAAATGACTCTACATTGACAATAACGGACTATTTTACACATAAAAATATCATTCTATTGCTAAAAAACGATAATTCAGTTTACTTTTCTTCTTTAAAGTAATGATTATCTTCAATAAAAAGTAATTTTTCTTGATAATTTTGATAGAGACTCTTAAAATACGCTAATCACACATTTTAGAAGAACTCATTATCATGTATTCAAAAGAAGAACTTATTCTCTTTACAAGAATATTACAAACTTTATCGAAAAAAGTTGGTTCGACTTTATGTATGCAAATCGAATTTTTGTCTCAATTTAATATTTTTTGTTGAAATGCTAAATTTAACGAGACTCAGAATGTATCTTGAATGAGTTTACGATGAATTTATGAGAGATTTGTGTACATGAAATTGTGAAGCAACTAACATTTATTTGAATGTAGTTAAGAAAAGTTACTTTTTAAAGTAATTCGTTACTATTACTCGTTATACATGGAAAAAAGTAATATACTTTAATTCTATTTCATTCTATATCATTCTCTCTACCATTATCTCTCATTCTTTATCATTTCCTTTTATCCTTTCCTGTTCCATGACCTATTTTCTCGTTCTCTACCAATCTCCAATAATAAATTCACTTTTATTCTTTTTCATTTCATATCATTCTCTACTATTCTTTCCCATTCCCTATCATTTTATTATTAGAGATTATTAAAGAATGAAAGAATAAGTTTGTGTGTGTGTGTGGAACATGGATGAGGATGGTAGAGATTGGTAAAAAGAATAAAGGTGTATAAAAGAAATTCAAATAGTAAAAGAAAGAGTAAAATGATAGAGAAAGAATTAGAGAAATTATCACATGAATAAGTTAGTAATATTTTTTAAAGTAAAGTAATATTAGTAATATTTAGTAATATTTTTTACTACTAATAGTTTTTAATTAAAATCCCATATGTAGTTTAGAAGATAAAGAAAGAAAGGATAAAATCCAAGCGACGAGATAGAAAATATGAAGATATATATAGATAAATAGTAAGATCGTGAAAATTACTTTTTAAAAATAATTCTCTTTAACATTACTAGTTATTCATCGAAAAAAATAATTTGTTACCGTAATTAACACAACCTTAGATAAGCGTCGTTGTACAAGCAAAAAAATATGAAGATTAGAATTGCGATATTTTGTATTATTTTTTCTTTCTTTTAGTGATTGAAAAAGAGATTGAAAGAAGAAAGAAAAGTTAGTAAGTAAGAAGAGAAAGAGAGGAAACAGAGCCGAATTTGGACAACGTATTCATGTCTAACAGCCAAAAACACGTTAGTCACGATCGTCGTATGACGAAATCACGCGTGAAGGATTTTCTGAAGAATCACTTTCTATCTCACACATTTTGTAATAATATAATAATATATAAGCAGAAACGCGCGCGCCTGTAATGTTTTAGTTTTGAATAAATTTTACGCTTATGATGAACCTGCGATAGACCTATGATTGATTATCGATAAACTTGTAAGATACTCGTGACAAGTAACATTTACTCGAGCGCAGCATGTATTCTTTTGTGTGTATCATGGATAATCTAAGATTAATTGTGTATTATTATCGCTCGTATATCGCGCGTGTCAAGTTAGAAATGAGCGACAGGTCAAATATTCTCAAAAAGAGATGTTTGCAGCTCGATGAAGTCGATTCACACGCGATATTCACTTCGAGTATCGTTAGAGACTCGGTTTCGTTGGGAAGCACTTCTTCCTCGAATTATTGAGATACACAAGCGACAGTGATAAAGCTTTTTCTCTCTCTCTTTTTCTTTTTCTCTCTCTCTTTTTCTTTCTCTCTCTCTCTCTTTTTCTTTCTCTCTCTCTCTTCTTTTTCTCTCTCTCTCTCATCCATTTCTGAACGGACGAGCTATCGATTTGACGAGATCTTGCAATAATGCGCGTGTGCAACTCACGGTTCTCATCATAATGTAAGCGATAAGATAACATAAGCTGATCGCGCTCATCGTTATTTAATACAGTGACGTGTGCGGCATCCATTTCGGTGGCTTTTTCATACGCAGGTGGACTCTGACAAACGTAATAGTAGGAATTTCGAGAAATCACAGTAATCGTAAGCACGTTGTAAAGTCAATCGCTCAATCAGTCGCACGTCGGTGATTAGCGCTAACCACCTGCTCGAGCCGATATTTTCAAACGCTTACGAGCAGTAACCACAGTGTCGCACAGGCTCAATTCGAGCGACGATATATAGCATGCAGCTACGTCGTTAAGCTTGTACAGCAGCATTATCGTATAAAGAAATTTAAAAAATGAAACCATTTTCCCTCACCACTTCGTATTATACCCTACACATCCTCGCTAACATCTGCATTTGCAGTATTTTTCAACAAGTACTGGCGACAATTCCCACCATCGCGCGACAATATCGTCAGTATAATTCACCGTGTTGATAGACGATATAATGTCGAAACTCAAGAACGAGAGCTATTAATGCTAGTCGATGACTTGAACGTCATGAACTTGACTTGTTTCATCATTTAATGTAGATATTTGCCGCGGAGACCTAAATGAATATTTATTCGCTTTTCTTAAGGTAGTTGCTGGTACTGTATTCTCAGTGGCGCATCAAGAGGGCCCTCATAAATTTACTCGTCTCTATAGATTTATTTCATTATTTAAGTATTATTGTTCACATTCGGAATAAAAATGAAATAAATATATGTATATACACAATATTACAAATGCGAAAAAATTATTATTTTTCATTCTTCTAATGAGTACTTTATTTGTGTATCGGTTTATCTAATGGAGACGTAAAAAGATAGAGATATAAGAAAATAGAAATATAAGAAAAAGAAACATGTAAATATGTGTATATATATATGTATTTCGAATATTACTATAAATTATATAAACTTTCCGCGGCGCGTTGTATTTTGAAAAAATGATCAATAATCCTGAAATTTGTGTATAATTTCTATATATTAATCTTTATAATATCAAAGTAGTTCTTCATCAAGATCTCACATGAAGTTTAGAAGATATTCCAAATAGAAAAATAAAAGATAGCATAGCTAGCTTCGTAGAAAAAATGTCTACTTGCAAATACCTCAAATCTCGGATGGTATACAACTTCCTTAAGTTTGAGCAAATTTATATTAAGGGGAAGAAAGTCAATCAACGCGATATCGTCGACGATGAAAATAAAGTAATAATGAAGGCAAATAATTACTGCGCGGCCACTCGAATAAAAACTCGAATGAAAATCGTTTCTCAAGTTCGACTGGGCCCGCGTGGCGGGAGAAATCGTTACTGGTGACATTACTGGTCGCGATGATCGGTTCAGTCGCGGCGAAAGATCGACCTTATTCTCGCGCACTCACCTGAAGCTCCGCTTGCGAGACGTCGATCTCCCCGCGATAAACGAACTCGATGATGAACTTGAGATCTGTGAAGCACACGTCCTGCGGCATGATGATCGTCGGATGTTTACAGGGATTCGACAGCAGCAGCTTCTGGAAGTAGGAACTGCAGGCCGACAGCACCACCTGCACACACATGGAAAAGCAGAAGGTTGTAATAGAGATATATCGGCGTTTCTTCGCCAATTACGTCGCGGCTGACGTTAACGCGAATCCATTGTGCGTCCTCGCGCACATTTCTTCGCGTCATCTTTTGCTTCTCGTCTATCTCTAAGTATTTTCTTCCGGACATTGTAACGCATCTTTTGTTTCAAGCATCGACGCGCGAGATATCCGAAGAGAGGTATCAGCACACCTGAGTGTTATCAAAGTATCGCGTGGATCGCGAGAAATTAAGAAGTGCGCATGCTTGCGAATACTGCGCATTCGAAGATAAGCATAGATGCCGCGATACTTACAAGGTATCGCGAGTAATTGCAGATTCCAGTGTCCCACGTCGCGCAAATAATCACGACAGAGCTGTAACTAGCCCGCGCAAAAGTAGGTGCTGATTTTATCACATGGCGAGTTAACCGAAAATCGCGAAAAAACAAATCTGTGCTAATATTCGTATATAATGTGTATATAAACTTCTCCACTCAGCCACATATAATTTTGCACATATTTTACATATATAATATAAATGACTTAACTGTGTGGGCCAAGACTAGCAATTTATCCACTTTCATCTGCCAATTTCACCCGCTAACTAAAACACCATACTGAGAAAAAAATGTTTCAAGTTTTTGTAACTATAATCGCTACATAGAGAAATAATTATTATAAATTATGGTCACGAAAACCATTTTTTATTAAATAATATGATGTTAGTGATAATAATCTTATATGAATATTACTACACTTACTAGTTTCACACAGGGTAATAATTTTTAAAAATGAAAGAGAAAGAAGGATAAGAGCCACGAATATTGAAAGCATGTGAGGATAATAATAATCTTTGACAGTGTCGACGTACGTATTGAATATTTTTTCAGATTTGTAATGTACGGGAATCTATCTTCTATGTCAAATCGCGATTCTGTATCTCAATTTATTAATTAATATTATTACTCCATCCTCGAATTAATTACGTACTCACTTAATTCTCTAATAAGATGTTGCTTTTAATTACTTATGTGTTGTGAAAAATACTGCCTCAACCAGGATTCGAATCTGGATGTCCCCACTTGCACTAACTAACTCATAACATCACTAACATAACAATTTCTCATTACGGCTTTGGGGATCAAGGGATCTAGATGACGTTCGCGATGCGATCTTTCTCTCTCTCCGTATTCGTCGTTTGTACACACTGGCCTACCTTGTGCGCCTTTAATGAAGCCTCGTTGCATACTAGGGTGACGTCGACGAAAGCCTCGGTCTGTAGAAGCTGGTGGAACATCGATGTCATATTCGACTGGTAGTTGTTCCAGCGCAGGCAGTAGTGCTGCCCGGCCATGCCGCCGCTGCAACAGACGAAAGAGTGTCGGTTGAGTGTATGCTGTCCTTGTGATGCTTTCCCCTCGTCGTTGGCGGATTCATCGAAAAGTCATCGACGACCACCCTAAGAAACAACGAGTTCGCTTTTCCCGCTGTCTCTCTCCTCTGTCTTCCCCCCCGTTTCTTCCCTTTCCTATTCGCGATATAGTCATCCCCTCGCCGTACCCTTTTCCCTGCCATGAGATCGATCCGTGGAGCGGGACAGTACCTGTAGTGCACGCCCCAATAACGATCTGTCTCCATGAAATATTGGGTTTCTTTTTCCGCTATGGCCGGGAGAAGATATTTCCAAGAGGTTTTACGTACGAAGGGGAACGAGTATCCACGTGAACACGTGAGGGACAGAGACCACGAGAGTAAGTAGATAGGTAGAGAAGATGGTAGATAGATAGTTAGGTAGGTAGGTAGGTAGGTAGGTAGGTAGGTAGGTAGGTAGGTAGCTAGTTAGCTAGGTAGATAGGTAGATAGGTAAGTAGGTAGGTTGGTAGGTAGGTAGATAGATAGGTAGGTAGGTAGGTAGGTAGGTAAGTAGATAGGTAGGTAGGTAGATAGGTAGGTAGGTAGGTAGGTAGACAGGCAGGTAGATGAGAAGCTTGGTAGGTAGATAGGTAGAAGTAGATAGGTCCTACGCCACGGTGACGGTGAGGGTGGCGGGAAGGAGAGAAAGAGACAGAAAGAGCAAGAGGAGACGAAAGGGGTAGGGGTCAAGATAGGATAAGTGAGAAGGAGAGATCGTCACGCGCAAGAGATAGGGCGCGCAGGAGGGAAGCCACAAAGGGAAGAAAGGGAGAAGAAAAGGGAAGAAGTAGGAGTAAGACGAAGAAGATGATGGAAAAAGAGGAGCTCGCCGTTCGCAAGAAGACGTTATTTCCGTTAGCGGGGCGCGACGCGTTGCGGCACAGCGCAGTGCAACTGCGGACGGTATCGCGGAAAACGCACTTTCGCGATTCGCGAATTGAACTGCGATAATAATGGCGATCGGCGACGATCTCGCGAATACGATCAGACGAGAAAGAGAGAGAGAGAGAGAGAGAGAGAGAGAGAGAGAGAGAGAGAGAGAGAGAGAGAGAGAGAGAGAGAGAAAGAGAGAGAGAGAGAG